AAAAAAAAAAAAAAAAAAAAAATATATATATATATATATATATATATATATATATATATATATATATATATATACACAGAGTGTCTTACACTCTCCTCCGGGTATTTTGGGGGGGGGCGTAGAACAAGTTGAGATGAACATAAAAGTCCTTTACCGTTTTACGATATTCGCAATAATTATCGAGATATTAATTGTAGAAAACTTGTAAATAATCATGCAGAATATGGTAAATGAGTATAGTAGCGACGACTGCCGTCGTGTACTTATACTTTAGGTCAAATTGGACAAAGAAGTTCTCTATCATTTTGCAAATAATCACATAGATTTTTAATTATTAATTAAAGAAGATTATTGCATGATTTTGCGTGATAATGCACTTATCTTCTTTAATTAATAATTAAAAATCTATGTGATTATTTGCAAAATGGTAAAGGACTTTTTTGTCCAATTTGACCTAAAGTATAAGTATACGACGGCAGTCGTCGCTATTATAACTCATTTATCATATCCTGCATGATCATTCACAAATTTCCTACAATTAATATCTCGATAATTATTGCAAATATCGCAAAACGGTATAGGATTTTTATGTTCACATCATCCCATTCTACGTACCCACAAATGCCCGGAAGAGTGTGCGTGTGTGTGTGTACAGGGTGGTGTCTTAAAAATAACCCCTGAATATCTTTTTATAGTGAGGTTTTTTGATAAAACTTTCAAAACAAAAGTTGTAGGATTTCAAAAGCTGAATCTGATGGTGACCTTAAAATTGACCTTAATTTTGACCTTGAAAGCCATTTTAAGGTCAACTTTATTTTTTTAAATAGAACATGCATATTTTCATGACGGATTCGGAATCTACGCCAAAAACTGAGAAGCTTTTGTCTGAAACATTTTTTCAGAAAATGCTCCCTTTGACCTTAAAATGACTTTCAAACTTCACGGTTTTTCTTAAAAATATGGGAACAATGCGGTCGCGCAATAGCGGATGCTTTGACTTCGAAATGACCCCAGATGATTATCCTGATCCAAGGGTCAGGGTTCCCATTAAAAAAAATTAAGCTGACCTTGAAATGACCTTCAAGGTCAATTTTAAGGCCACCATCAGATTCAGCTTCTGAAATCCTATAACTTTTGTCTTAAAAGTTTTATCAAAAAACCTCACTATAAAAAGATATTCAGGGGTTCCCATATTTTTAATGGA